TACTTACCAGGCCCATTCCCATAGCTAGACCAAGCCTATTAGCTGTGTCTGCAACGTTGGATTGCCTATACATTGTGGCGATCTTTTCCCGGACAAAGCTTCTGTTATCAACTTTGGACAGAACCACACCAAGGCATCTACAGACATGCAACAGAAGTTCAGAAAAGAAACTTAAAGAAAATTAATTACCTGTGCAAAAAGGCACAATGTTGGTTATCTCCTTCGTATAAACAGTAGTGGCCAGACAAAGCATTAGCCATAGACATAGTCCATTCAGAACTGCTGATAACGTCCACAGATTCTGACAGAAGCTGATGTTGTACATTAGTAGGAAACAGTTTGACAACACTTACGTGTAATATCATTTCTTCCCATGTTTCTTGTTGCCATGAGTCATCTTCGGAGTCGCTGATATAAGCTTTTAGTTTTGGAATCTGCATCAAATAGACTCTAATTCGTGCCCAATGTTCTTAACACACGAACCTCGTCTTCCCATAGCAACTGGACAGCGGTTGGAAACAGCGAGGACATGTTCAAAAGAGCCTACAAAGTACAAAGTTGTTGGCGAAACTAAGAAAACGTCAGAAGTCAGAAACAAAGGAAAGAAAAAAGACACCGTCAAAATTGATGCAGCAAGATGATTCCTGGCATGGGGATTCTGCAAAAGAACGATCAACCTTCCCAGCACTTCCTGCACTGGCTTGTTATCAGAGAAAGAAAAAGCCTCGACGGGAAACCTCTGGTCGTGGAACGTCGGGTTGCAATCTATAGTCGACATAGACTGGTTCGCCTTTGCCATTTTTCCTCTTGATAATCTCGCAAATGCACTTACAAAGCTAAGAAAGGAAGACTGTCGTCAACATATGTCTCAGGTTCTAGGAGGAAACTTACCGTGGCTATCGCTCCTGTAAAGCATGGCGGAATCAAGACTTTCAGTAGAAATGGCCACATAAGCTCCTGGACCACAAATTCAGTATAGAACTTAGAAGTGAATGTATCTTCATACTTCCATATGAGGCGTTGTGCTTGCCAGCAAATATAAAATTTTATCGGACACAACCCGCAGCTCTGAAGGCGACACGAATCCAACTTTTAGACGAAGCTGGGACGTTAAGGGTTAGGAAGAAACTATATAAAAAGAAAAATCTTACGTGATTTTGATGAATTTCAGCATTTCGCGTGCCCAACGCTATTTCCAGGGCCTCCTGCTGTGAGTGCAGGATCTTTACCTCAGAATCAGTAATAGCTGACTGCTTAACTAAAAACTCTAAGAATATCCTGTCGTTATCTTGTTGCAAAAACCCAACAGCTGACATGATCGCAACGAGCTGAATGATAATAGAAGTGAAAACTACCCTGCAGAATGCAAAATATAGGAAATATACCTCTGCCAAAGCTTTCCGCAAGTTCAAATTTGGCTCCTGCAGCGAGACCTTTACAGCCTCGAGTAGAGTGGAACGTTTACCATTCCAGCTTGTAGCAAGTCTAACAATCACCGTTGAAATTATCATACTTGAATAAACAGCTAGCGTACCTAGGGAGTAAATGTTTGAGTATCAAAAAAACTCCAAGTGATGCTTCCATTTCTTTGGCATTCAAACGCTGCTTTTAAAAAACACTTTATCAACCGAAACGAATGAGAATAAAAGCTCCAGCATCTCACAGAGAGTAGATAGTTGAAAAGGTCTTCCGGAAAGGCAGTTCCAATAATTACGAAGCAAGTAGCAACCTCGTTAAAATTCTGCAGAAAAGCGAGAATGTTACGATAAAAGAAAAATTAAAGCTTTACCTTTAAAATTGCAGAAGCTTCTCCATTTCGTTCTTTACGAGAGTAGATGGAAGCCATAGGCAAAATCGTATTAAGAATAGATACAACAGCCTGAAAAACATATTAATACTGGTAACTGTTTCCTAAACACAAGAACCTGAAACTCTAGCATCGGCTGACCACTCGGCAAAACCACTTCCAAAAGCATGTGAAGAGCATGGGTAACTGGAAAACAATTACTGGAGTCTTTCTTGTACCTTAATGATAACAAAAGAGCCAGGGTGATGTACAAAGAGAAACTTTCAATGATGCTTACACTGATAAGATAGAAGGCACGAGCTTAGGCAACGCCGATTTTAACTGAATTTTATTTATGAGAGGGAACATTTGAGCCAAAGCTTCCACAGTAGCCAAAGAAACCTGATATGTTCCAGATTTATGTCAGTTAAGGAAAGAAACTGCAAATACCTTTGCATCACGAGCCAAGAGCCATCTTCCCAGGAAAAGATCAAATGCAGAGTGTAAAAGAGCTCTGTAAATTACATTAAGTACACAAAAATGAGAAGATACTCCCGTAACTTACTGCATATCAGGACCAAGGTACGGAGCTGACGGATACTTTTCAACATACACGATCATCCCGGCACTCCAACACGCAAAAGCTGACAATGATTCATATCAGTCCATATGCTCAACGCAAAATTATTTATCTTACCATCAGCAAACGTTTTTTTCTGCGCATCCTTAATTCCACCAAGAAGAGGTAAAACGCGAGAAAGCACGCCTTTCATATGAGGGACGAACTGGACAGCTTCAAACAAAGGCTTCCAACTAAATCCCATCACATAATGATAAGCTGAAGTTACCATCAATTGTCGAGAACTCGGCAAGAGCTTGAACCAATGCCAACACCGGCACCGAGCCTCCGACTAGTTGCAAAAATATTTCTTCCATAACCTGAAAACGAAGAAGCAGCAATACTAATAATGTAGGTAAAAAAGAAAGAAAGCGAGACTAAGCTTTACCAAGCTTGGCATTTGACAACAAACTGCAACCAGCAGACTCGATGCTGCGTGTTCCCAGCTTGAATCCAGATCCTGATAAAAGCTGTTAGTGCAAGAAGAAATCGAAAGGACAAAATGTACAGACCTTGCAGCTCGTCATCTCAGCGAAGGAGATTTTCACCATGGATTTTATCTTGTCTTCGCTTAGCTGCATCCTTTCCATGTCGCGGATTGTTCTCGCCATTACGTTCAAGACACTTGATCGATGAACTGCTACTTGTCCTCCACGCTGATCAAGCGAGAGAAAAAATAAAAAAGAAGGTGAGGATGCAAAAGAAAAATGCGCACAAAGAGTTGATTACCCGTTTAACAGTTCTCAAGCTCGTGAGGCAGCAATCCAAAATCACATGAGCGCTTCTGTGCAAGCCGAAATAAGAATTGGAGAGAAAATCCTCAATCTCACCCTCTAGCATCCTTGCAAAGAGAAATCGTCGCGGCTTCCCTGACCGCGTCCGAGGAATCAGACAGCGCTCCAACCAGTGCTTGAATGACGACTAACGAAGAGAATAGAACCGAGATTAGGGAGATGGAGGCTAGATTTTCTTACCAGATTGATGAGAAGCCGGCTCCTCATCGCTCGCCATTGCCAAAGCGATCACTCTCGTCTAAACCCTACTCCTCCCCATTCCACGTCATGCTGCCAGGTGGCCCACGCGTAATTGATCCATTTAAACCTTTTGCCCGCCTTCCAAAAGCCCTAGTTATCTTTCGAATTTGCCCTCGCCCTAGGATGAGCGCTTACGAGAAGGTACGCCAAGAGCGCATTCGAGCAAACAATGCGCGCCTTGCCGAGCTAGGGCTGCGCGATCTGGCCAGGGATATCGCCTCTCAAGTGCAGGCTCCAGCTCGAGAAGCGAAGCCGGCGAAGCCGAGCACATCGGCTGGGCCGGTAAGAAGGTCGGATAGATTGCGGGCCATCAAGAGCAACAAGAATGAGGAGGTCTCTGATGAGAGTGACGAGGAGATGATTGTCACACGGGAGATTCGTGACGAGGAGGAGGATTACGTTCCCCCAGCTGATGAAGAGCATGTTTCCGAGGACAGCAGTGATGGTGAGCATATGAGTGAGGACGAAGAGTCTAATCAACCAAAGGTATGATATGAGTTTCTTTGTCTTCTTTGTTTAAACTGCGGCTACGTATGGGACAGACCGAAGAGGTTGTGAATTCTCATTTGGATTTCAAGCAGGACGAGGACGATCTTCAAGAGGTTTGTACATTTGTTTTCTCATGGAAAGAGAGAGTCATTAAATTTTTGGAGGCTGTAGGCTATTGCTCTGTCTCTTGAGGAGGTACATGACGGAAGCTTAATCGACAGTAGAACTAAAGCTGTGAAGAAGTCAGTAAAAGAAGATTCAAAGCGCAGGAAAAAACCGGTAAGAAGATAGCATTTAAACCTGTGCTCATTATGTGCTTCTTACATGTTGCTTTCAGGCTGCAAGAGGCTCGTTTCACCTGTCCACAAAGGATATCGACATTCTTTATCACGCAATCGTTCGTAAGTGGTAGTGTGCCTTCTTCTTACTTGTCACCTAAAGTTTTTAACTCTTCAGAAGGTAGAAGGGGCCTTTCGCTGCGAGAATTGCAACAAGCAGCGTCTGCACATAACTTCACTTGGACAAAGCAGGAACTGCAAGACATGATTAGAATTTTTGACACCGACCAAGATGGCATGGTAAGCTTATGGAAGCTTCTATCTCTGTTTTCTAAGTACGCCAGTTTTTGCAGCTCAATCTTGACGAGTTTCTAAACATGTCGACGCGTTGCCATATTCTCGAAGATTGACATGCGAAGCGGCGAATTAATAGAGACCTACGCCGCCAAGACATAGTCTCACGGGTTAGTTGCCGACTACCCCCTTTCAAACTATGTTATGGCATGCACTCAAAAACAGTGCTTGCAGGTGTGAATGGGTCTTCCGCTAGTACAGCGGCCTACAGTGGACATGCATGAATGGAACTGGGAAGTGGCTCTCTGGCAGTAACAGACGGTTGCTTTTTGGTCACAAGAATCATAATGGGATATTTGCTACGCGTAAATACTGGCACGCAGTCTGGAAGTCATTGCAGCACCATTGCTTTTTTCGCTGTTGCTTGAGCCAGGCTTTCAGGAATTTTTATCTACATTCGCTGGGCGGGGCCGGGGTTTACACATTTGCTGGCTGTTCCGCTTTGAGATATCTTTGTCCGAAGGAGTGCAACATCAGCAGCCACCCGTGATGCCTGATCGCGTGTGACGCTGAAAGGCCTTGGAAGTTTGCAGATAAAAATTGGCAGCAGGCTGGCTCTCTGGCTGCGGGGCTATGAAAACGGTCTTATAGTACAGCAGGGATTGAGGATAGGGACTCAAGAGCCCCGGAGACAATGAAGCAGCTTCTCTATATAATCTCCCTGCCTTGAAATCAGTGGCTGCAAAGGGCAATCACTTCGTTCTTCAATGAAGAGTAGGAGCCGAAGAGCTGCTTGGTGGGTGGCTACCTTGGGTTTACTCGTCAAACTCGTGTACCTCCTCGACCAGGTGACTGCGGCACCATACGCTCACGAAGTCTTCAACAACAAGAATGGACTCTGCTCGACTTTTGTTCACCCGTACAACTATGGTTGCAGGGAGTTCTCGGTCTGTAGAGCTTACACTCTTTTGCTTTCTTTTTCTGCGAACTAACTTCCTTCTCAACAGGTTCCAACACAAGATGGGTTTTTGCTTGGTGTCCAACGATTGTATGGTCCAAACAGATCCAAGGGTCCTGTGTTCCTCTACCATGGGATCATGCAGGTGTGCTTTCTAAATTCTTGGGCGTTTTCTTTACCGTTGCTTGGTTGAGCAGGGAGGGGACATCTGGGTGATCAATCAGCCGAGAGATTCGCTGGCATTTCAGCTCGCAGACGCCGGCTACGATGTCTTCCTTGGAAACACTCGAACTTCCAATTTCAGCTATGGCCATGCCACTTTGTCCCGCTCAGACGATGTATGCACAATTTCTGGTTCATCCGTTTCATTTGCCAACTTTAACAACTGGTTTTCTGCAGGATTTCTGGGATTGGAGCTGGGACAATCTTGTTGAGCAGGACTTGCCGACTATGCTGCGCTTCGTCCACAGTCAAACTAATCAGCGAACAATGTATGTCGGATTCTCACAGGTAAGACTGTCTTATAGAGGCAAATGATTCTTATTCCCGTCTTCTGGTTTGCAACAGGGCACCATGACAGCTTTTGCTGCTTTCGCGCACAGTGATGTCTCGGGACTTGTAAAGAAGGCTGCAATGCTCGGTCCTGTTGCATATCTGGAGAATGTGGATGCACCAATGCTTTCCATTGCGTCTAATATGTATCTGGACAGGGTTCGTCTCTCTCTCTATATCTTTCTTAGCCAGTGTGCTAAATTTTCCTGGCTCAGATTCTTCTTGTTGCCGGAGTCTATGAGTTCCGCGTTGAAAAGTACGTGCTTTTTCCATACTCGGTCCATGGGCTAACTCAAATATAATCAATGCGCAGCTCTGGAGGCCGGCGAGTGATCAACACCGTTTGCAGGTCCCAACGTATGCAGCATGTGGACTGCTTTGACAACTTGCTGGACATGGTCACTGGTAAACAAAGCATTTTCTTTCTTTCTTTTTTTTGGTATTTTCAGTTCATCTAAGAATGCATGTCTTCAAGGTCCGAATTGCTGCATAAACACGACGAGGAGGCCCTTTTACAATCGCTACGAGATGCAAGCAACTTCAATGAAGAACGTGGCACACATGGCGCAGCGTAAGTGTCTCGCATGGAGTAGTATTTCTACATTCATGGTGTTCTTCTCTTCTACAGTGGTGCGCTCAGGAGAGTTCCAAAAGTATGATCACGGATATGTTGGAAACATCCTCCATTATGGCAGCTTGGATCCACCGTCGTACTCCCTTTCAGCATTTCCCAGGACCGTCCCACTCCTACTCATTCGCGGCGAGAAAGACGAGCTTGCTGACAAGGACGACGTCGCCCGGCTCGTCAAAGAGCTTCCATCCGAGACTCAACTCGTCGTGGTTCCTCGCTACGCGCACGGAGACGTGATGCTCGGAGTGGACGCCACTGCGCTGGTATACAGGAAGGTGATCGACTTCTTCGCAAAGTAGGAAATTATCATCTCCATTTAATCTCTTTGCAAAGTACTCTCAAAAGTTCTAACCAAGAAAAAACGCTTCTTTTTAGCTACCAAAATTCGTGCTCGTCTCTCATCTAGATTTACATCTCTCGAGAAAAGCTAGAGAAAGAATTCAAGTAGCCTGTGGGAAGTTTATGGGACCACTTCGAGTCTCGGGCTCCAGCATTCGCTGGGCTCTCTTCTTCGCACAGTGCTGCCGATCGAAATGCCTCACCTGATTGATACCAACAAAGCTCCGATCACGCAAAGAGAAACAAAAGAAACGCCAGGAAAGAAGAGAGAGAAATAATACCCAAGTCGATCTACACATCTTCTCGAATTGCGCCCGGCTGTGCTTGCAATCCGCCGGATAGAGCAGCCCCACCGTCCCACTCTCCGTCGCAGCGCCCTTGGAGCTCTCCACGCATTGGAAGAACGCGTCGCGTGCCTAGAATAATCCCCTCCGCATAAACCCTAAACCCCACACGCACAACCGCAATCGTCTACCTTGTAGCAAGCCGATCTGCCCGCCGCTAGCACCTTGGCGTCCACGTCCGCGCTTCCCATCAAGCTTCCTCACCACTCCATCCCCTCTGTTTTAAGGGCTCTTTGCTTTTTAGGGTTCTTCACATTTTTAGGGTTCTTCGCTGGAAGGCGGATATTCCTAGAATATTTATCTCTTCAATGGCTAGCACAGCCAGCAAAGACATTGGAATTGGCCTTGGTGTGATAGGCGAAGTTGGCGATGGGCGTGAGAGCCCCGACTCTCTCCCCGTTGCGCAGCATCTCCTCCACGTCCAGCTTCTCCAGCGTCAGCACCGCCCGCGACTCGCTCCACACGAACGCGAGCATCCCACTCCGGTGCACGAACAGCGCCCCGGGCTTGGAGCTCGGGTACCGGAACCCATACCCGTTGGAGATCCCCTCGCCCTGGTAGCACTCCACCGTCTCCACGACGCTCCCATCCCGGTAACTCTCCCACGGGAACCTCTCCGCCGATGGCTCCTCCACTCTCGCAGTGAACATCGCCGATCCATTCGGATGAAGAACGTAGTGAGTCCCCTCCAGGATCTTGGTCGCTATCAGCAGCCTTCCTCCTCCTCCACCATCTCTCTCGCGATCGCCCTCGTCGTCGTACGAGAGCAGCAGGAAGAAGAGTGGCTTCCCGGGCTTGCTCTCCCCGTCCGGCCGCCCCGGCGGCCATCCGAAAGTCCCGCCCCACAGGCCGGCAAGCTCGCGGCCCTCCACAGCCTTCTGCTCGGGGAGCTTGTAGAGCGCGAACCGGTTCTCGCAGATGATCGGCCAGGCCCGGTAGAGCGTCAACTTCAAGCTCGCCGCCTCGAGCCGGAGCCCAACCCCGGCGCCCTGCCGGAGGTACTCCCGCAGCGTCAATCGCCTGCTCGGTGCTGCCCCCGGTGACGCCACCTCCGTCCTGTTCTTCCTCCTCCCCTCCTGTGCCGCCAGCTTACTCCGCAGGACGATCTGCCTAATCTTCGCCTTAAGAAAGCCCGCAAAACCGGATCTTTTCGAAGCCGGCGTCGTTGCAGTGATCGTAGAAGTGGCAGCAGTGGCAGTGGCAGCAGCAGGCCTGTCCTCGCTAGCGTACGAGCTTCCCAACTTCCCAGACAAACATTCCGAGTCCACAATCCTGTGGTGGTGGCAGTGGCAAGAAGAAGGCGTCGTCGCTTCTCCACCTCCTCGACCGGTTTCTGTGCTGCGGGGGTCCCCATGCACGTACATCCACAGCAGCAATGCGTGCCTCTCGGTCATCGCCCTGAGCTCCTTCTTGGACGCCAAGCTCGGCCGGGAGATGAGCGGCCCCTGCGCCAGCGCCGGCATTTTGATCCGGATCTCCGCCACCACCATCTCCAGCAGCCGCCTCCGGTCGCCGAAGCTCAGCCTCCCGAAGCAGATCCCCTCGTCCTCCTCCGACGGCCTCCTTGCGCTGAATCTCCTGCCGGAGCAATCGTCGTCGCTGCTGCAGGTGCTCTCTACCGCGACACCGGCCAGAGTGCTGTCCGGGCTGCCACTCGGGCTCCTCCTCCCCCCCTCGGCCTCCAGGAAGGACTCGACCTCCAGCATCAAAACGTTGCAGCCTTCTCTCGCCGGCTCCACTCGCCCCGGGTAGCACCAGTCCTCCTTGTCCCTGCCGTGGAGGAAGAAGGCCAGCGATCCATCGGGAGCTCCAATCACCTCGAACACTGGCGCCCAAAGAAGGCCGCGCTCCATCCCCCGCGGGCCGAGCTCCTGGGGGATGATCCGGCAGCCGATGATGGAGAGGAATCCCCAGGTCACGTACACCAAGTTGCCGAGCTCTGGGTTTTGGTGCACCCAGATGCCGAGGAGGGGCCTCGCTCCAGCCAGGAAGCGATAGAGCGCCCGGTGTGACTCCATCCCGCTCCTCCAGGCATTCAAGTCGATGGATTCGCCCTCGGCCAGGCGCTGGCACTGCGGGAGCCAGAGCTTGTCCGACGAGCACGCGCTTCGAAGCTTGCGGCAAGTGGCGCTGAGGATGCAGAGATCCCTGTGGCCGACCCGGCTTGTGATCAATCCGAGGAGGTCGAGCGGGAGATCGGGCAGAGCGCTCGGAATTCCGCCGAAATCTTCCATCGGATAGCCCAGCGAGAGAATCGAAAAGAAAAAAGAACCTGGCCGCGCTGCCTCAGCTCTGATCGATGGCACGAAAAAGATGAATCAGCGAAGAAATTTCCTAGAAATCACGCTCACCTTTCGCATTGGACCGGCTTCCCTGGAGCTGGAAGAAAGGCGGCCGATCTTTTAGGTCAGACTACCTCCATTTGCCGCCTGGCGATCGAGAGCGATCGATCAATCATCCATCGATTGATCGACAGATGCCCCGCCAGGACCGCGCACGCAAGGAAGAAAAAGAGCTCGCAGCCAAATAACCTAAACGAAAAATCGGGCGCCACGCACTAAAGACGCGATGGATAATTAAGGAAAACGTTTAAAACGCTAAACTCTTTGACCGCTGACGAGGATACCAACGCCCCAGATTTGCAATATCCAACGGCTGCCAAAGATTCGGCAAAGATTCCCGTGTCCAACGAAAAGAATAAAGGAGCCTTAGAAAACGTAGAAAGTCGTCGTGAGAGAGCACAACAGGGCACGTACAAAAAGGTGGCCCCGTCCTTTAGATTTGCTGTCACGTTTCACTTCAACTTCGCTAGCCAGAACCATTGCATTTTCCAGTCTTGCTAACCACTAGCCAAATGTTTCTCGTGAGCCGAAGCTGTGCTGGATCACGATGGAAACATCACGTAACACAGTGATTGATATTGATTTCTCTTGTTGTTGTTGACCGAGCGAAGAGGATTTTTCTATCCCAAATTCTCTAGTTTTGCAAAGATCGATCCCAACTCTCCAAGCAATAATAATATACTTTGATAGAGTTTTCAACGATCTCGAAGCTGGAATCTGGATGGATGGGCGCTGGGGTCCGCAAGTTATCTACCTGGACTCGAGCCACAGTTTAGTACCGAGTTTTAAGAACGAGGCAGAATGTACTACCGAGCAAAATCACGCAACCTGTAATGCTTTCCGGTGCATGTTCTTGATTTATGTTATGATGGCGATGGACGATATGAGGTAGCCGACGAGTTGCACTCCTCCACTCCCCACTCGTCCAACTTTTCCCTGCTTTGAGACTTACATGATGGACTGGTTTGTGAGGAGCTTTCCATCGTGACGTGTGCTGGGCATCAGCGTTTGGTACTTTTGGACTCGCGGCTTTGGAACAAGGAAGCTGCACCACACGAAAGGAGCTCCTAAGAATTGGAAATATGAAGTTTAGAGTCGCAAACCTTTTAGTGCAACAACTGAGTTTCTATCGATGTCTCAGTATTGCAAACAGGTCCTCTGAAGCTCGAGTAGGATCGGGAGCTTTGGAGCTGAAATGCTGAACATTCTTGGGATTATCGTCAGCACTTATTTTGAGTTGTCCCTTGAGGAAGGAAGGAGTATCCAGATCACATCTGTTAAGCAGTTGATAAGTTACAAATCATTCAACCAAGATCCTGCTCACCTCTTAAAGGATAAATTCCTTTTCTTAGAGCTCTTAGACAACCACATTGGAAATCTTAGTTTGTGATCCGCCTGTGACGCGCATCACGAGGCATGTTAGCGTCGTGAGGAAAACCGCACAAGCACCGCTTACAGTCGTGTCGAAGGATTGTCTTGTTCCTTGCAAAATGGATGAGCTGTAAAGCAGCAGTCATTATAAAAACTTCTATGAAACACGGCAGTTTACCAGGTAAGAACCAAAATCATCGAGAAAAGCTCAGACAGCTCCCGTCTGCCACGGCAAATGCTTTTGTCCATCACGTCTCCATCGCACAAGTAATCTGAAGCTTTCGAGAAGGCATTCAGGATGGATGCTCCTCTGCAAGGTTTGTAATTAAGATAGTTTTCCTGTTTGCACAGTTGCGTCAGGACAACCAGGACAGAACTAGCCACACCTGATGATACTCATACCTGAACAAGAAGGAATATAAAACCGACATCTTGAAGAACCATGTTCAGGCGAGCTTCTATTGTGTATGAAGTTTTGGCTCCTCTTCCTTCACCCGCTTCCGCACACAAACTGTAAATCCACTGATCGGTAAACTTTCCGATAGAATTTTCAAAACTGACCTGTCCATAGTCCCAAAAGAGCCCAAGCAAGCATCTCTAACATCCACTTCTGAGTTCAGAGAATACCCTGCACATGCATACTGCAAAACAATGTAAGAACTCGATCTGACACACAGGCTCGTACCTGCATTTGAATCAAAACATGGCGAACGTCGCGATGTGCGCTGTCTACAAGCGAGCTTAAAAATAACTAACCACCGTTTTCTTTTCAGATCAGGAACACATTAGCGACAGGAAACTACCTTGTCCACACGTAAACACTCTTTTTCTTGGACTTGAATGAGGAGTTTTAAGATCTGCAACAAAAGCAAAGATAAGTTTCTAAACAGAAAGGAAAACGCACCTCACTTCTACTGGGTTTCTCGAACTTCAGCACTGAGCAATATTCCATGAGCCTGCGAAGCCTCTTGTCGTAGATGTCATTACAGATGCACATAATCGGAAGCCGTCCCTGTTGTAAAAGGCTAAGCACCGCCTGAATCGCTGTCTCGTCGATGTTGTCTATCTCATCGAATATAAGGACAACCTTCTTACTTAGTCCAAGATTTGTTGTTAGACACTGATTGTCAGCTCGTATATTCCAGGTCTTTCTATGTACAGCCTACAAGTACAAGGAGTTAGCTAAGAGCTCATAAATTTTTTGATGTTCAAGTATACCATCACAGGGCTAAAATCCAGTTCCTCGCAAACAGCAACAGCAGCAGATGTCTTTCCTACACCAGATGGCCCACTGATTATAACAGCTCTTTTAACATTCTTTACTGATCTCGTCTTGGAAGCAAAGTTTTCTTCCCATGTTTGTAACCAAGTATGCAAACGCGTGATCTACCAGACAACAAAGAACTTGTAGATAAGAGAAGCTAGAAAAAAAAATCGAGACTCACAAGCACTTGGTTCCCCACAATGTCACTTCTCGTTCTCGGCCGATACTTGTGTGTCCACAAGCTAGATTCAGCACATAAGGATCTCTCCGTGCTTTCCCCGGCTTGAAAAACCGCCTTTTGCCTCTTTGGAGGAGGATACACCCTGGGCTCCAAGGAGAAACGCTGCTTTACAGTTACCTCCCTCGCACAGCACACCTCAAAACTTGGAAGCATCAACTAAATGAAGAAGAACGATGTTAATCTCGATTCATCCGACTGAAATTTCATACCTGAGGTAGCGGCTGCTGTGACTTCGCAAAAAATCGAGAAATCTTCGTGTAATCTGACCTGCGCTCGTCGGCGCCATCACGCCGTGCTCCATCCAGCCGCCAGAAAGCCGCGCCTTGCATCCGGGAAAGACCATAAACCCTAGATAGAGGTTTGAGCGGGAAATTTAAAAATATGGAGATTCCGACAAGCCCTAGCTGACGTGTCAGATTAAATGGCAATGGCTGTGGCGCTCATACCGCTTCCTCCGCGAGCTTCTCTCTCCGTCCACCAGGAATGTGGCGGCGCCAAGGGCCTAGGGTTTGGCATTCGCGTAGCTTCTTCTTCTTCGCGGCCGAGGCTGCTCTTGCGGCCGCCCAACGGGCAGCTCGGATTCTACGTCGAGCCCGACATCGATGAGGATGAGGTGTGGGATCCGGCCAAGACCAAGGGCGACGACGAGGTATGGGACTTTCCTCGTTTTCTTCTGGGAAAGATGTGAGATTTTCGTATGAATGAGCAGCTGGATTCTTTTCCTTGGGGAATTGCCGATGGCGCTCATTCGTGGCATGGAAACGAAGACGACAGTATGTAATTTTTCTTACTTGCTTGAAAGTAACCTTGTGTAGGCTGGCAGGACCATATTGGGAGATTGTAGCTGAGACGATTGAAAAAGCTGGAGGTCCTACGTCAGGACTCCAAAGTGAGCTCTTGGTTTTTCTTTTCTTTCTTCCTCTTTCCTATCGTAATTTTTTGTTTTGTTAGAATGGATATCATGGAGTTTTCTGCCCATTCTCTTCACCGGCATGGCATTCGGAGCGCCTGTAATCTTCTCCTTATCTTTATTCTTTTGTTTTTGTTTTCTTTCTTGTCTGTATGGTCTGACCTTCGCTTCCAGGCAACTTATCTATTTCTCTACACCGTGCTTTTTATATTCGCGTTTATCGGTATTGAGATGGATAAACCAGACCAGCCTCATAATTTTGATCCGGAGACATACCTTGAGATGATGGCCGAGCGAGACAAAGCTAAAATGCTGGAGCTCGGTCCGGGAAATGATATGTAACTGTTTTTTAGAGTCGACTGTTACATGTACAGGCAAAGATAAGAAAGGATCGATTCTTGTACGGGCTGCGCTTTCTTATGGTGATACTCAAGCTTTGTATGCAGGAAATCCTTTTCAGCTCGAGCTGCTAGAGGTAATCAAACTTTTAAAAGGAAGCATCGTTCTCATATGGATTGCAGGCTTTCTTTGTAACCGAGTGAGACAGCAAGCGAGAGCTTGGTCTGGAACAAAGTCGGCATAAGAGCGTAAGCTTATGCGGATAAAGCTGCTGGTTTCTGCTCAAGGTGTCTCTTATTTCTATACACAGGGAAAACGAGTTTTGAATAATCATGCTGGATCGCTGCTGGAACTCCAGACAGAAGCTGCAATTAAAGGTCTGGATTTCCAGCAAAGTAACATCGTATCTTCGTCTTCTTGAATTTGATGCCCGTCTTGAAACAGTCCAACGAGGAGCCTTGCCTGGCAACGATTATAAGAGCTGAAAGAACGCTGCTGGAAGCCGACGGCTTCGGCAAGGCCCGACCATCTGTTCTTCACCATCTTGCCGGAGAAGTCTACGTGACTCACAGCTTCTTTTTCCAAAGGAGATTGACTCACGGCCGAAGTGACCGTGTTCTTAATCCGGGGTCCCAAAAAGACACGCTCGACCAGAGAACGCATTTCATCCTCCGATGCCAGCGTTGCTTCCAGGGAATCGAAGAGGGTGGAGTAGTGGTACAGGGCCTCGTGGAAACGTCCCGTGAACGTCGTCGACGTGCAGCTGAGATCTTCCTCGACTATCGCCAGGACTCTTGGCCGGATGGCCGCCATCTTCCCGAGAAAGAAACGGACAGCATCCCGGGAGTGACATGACATGTGTGGGAGATGGAGCATGCAGTTGACAACGAGTGCCTCTCCTTGTATGAGCTTGAGGGACGAGCTGCGGAACTCCTCAGATTCTCCATCAACTCGGACTTGGTTGAAAACGAAGGGAACGTTGAATTGTCGAGCACAAGCGGCCAGCCTCTTCCCAGTTTCCTGGGTGGTGGAGAGGGCCCCCTTGGCGTTCGGCCGGTAGAGAGCAGTGATCTTGAGTTGCGGAGGACCTCCAGCTCTCAAAGCCAGCGATTGCATCAGCGAAGGCCACTGGACCCCGTCCGTTATATCAAAGTCAACAATGTGGACTCTTTGCTCTCCGGCCACGGATTCGAGGATGGCCTGGTTTGCTGAGAAGTGGCCAAACTTGATGTAGGGGCAGATCTCGTGCAGGACATGGAAGGCTCCGACAGTGTCGAACAGGGACTCGGTCCGGCTGAAGAACTTCAGCCCGTGGAGCCTGCAATTGAGAGCGTCGCGAAAGTAAGCCGCAATTCTTTGCATTGTTGTTCTTGACTGAGTGGAGCAGCAGCTTTTCAGGCGGTCAATTATGGCTATGGCGAGATCAGCCTCACCACAGACGATGGCTTCGGCTGCTCCCAGCAACAGATGGACAAGACGGATGCTGTCCATGCCTTCGTCCCAGGGATGCACTTGCACTCCAAGTTCGGGGTAGACAAAGTCCACTCTTTCATCGTGGGAGTGGTGCCTAAAGTCGACTAAACTCCTCTCGATCTCTTGCTGCTGCTGATACTGTGGAGGAGAAACTGGATTGACGGCAACCTGCTGGGGATCCGGGAAAGACCTTTCATGGTCATCGAGCATAGCCTTCATCAATCTTCTGAGATCGTCGTCCTCACAAGCTGCTGAAGACTGGACGAACTCACCACTGTAGTCGGGCGAGACAGTATCCTCGGAGTTCCGGCTATCATCGAAGGACGAAGGTGAATGGCTCTCAAAGCTCCATCTCTCTACCAAAACAGGAATGTCAGCGATAGAAGTATCCATAGGGACATCCTCGACTGGAGAACCAAAGCAATTCGGGGAGAAGCTACTATTTAGACGATCAAAGCTGGTATCGAGCAGCATTTGAAGGGAGGAGGGGGGACACTCAAAACTTTTCAGGTAAGTTTGTTGGTTTCCTAGGAGCTTGGAGTACAAAGTTTTTATATTAACCCATCCCTTCCCAATCTCCAGGACGCAAGGAGGCCACAGCTTTTACGGTGGGATCTCCACGTGGTGTTCTTCTACAAACTTTCAACACCACTGTGGGCGACGGCAGCGCAGGAATTAAGGTGTGCTGCCATGCAGCACTTCGATAAGAAAGAGAGGTGACGATTTCCACTCTGTTCTTGGGAGAGCCACTTGCGTTGATTTTTTCTTTGATCTGGTTTCTAGATTTTCATTTCGTGCTCGTCACAGGCATCTCAGATGTTGCTATCAAGCTTTGTCTGATTGGAACTTGTCACGTAAACATTCTCGCGGAGTCTGGATGCTGCAAACGAAAGCATGAAGAGGCCTCCCGAACAATTTAATATCATGTATGTTCTCTTAAGGCGTGGACCTTGTACTACTTGACAATTCCGGAATCTCAGGCGCTACATTCGTAAAAGCCCGGAAACCTTTTGTATAAGCCCTAAAAGAATATCCACGATTGGTTCGAAAGTACGTGCTCATAAATGGATTATTTAATGTAAGAGAACCAAATTGCTCAAAGGCTATTCCTTGAAAGCTAGGCTCTAGAGGTACTTGGCTCACATTATTTATTAATGTCTATCTAGACGAGTAAAGACCGACCGATTAGATGGAAGTAAGCTGGTAGTAGCCATCTGGAGTAATACCTGAGTGAGAGAAGGAAGGATTCATCGAAAAAGAAGCAAGGAATATCATTGACAAACGTCTTTGTTTGGAGTCTACAAACTCGACCATGAGGAGCTGAAACGAAAGAAATGATATGATGATCTTGGGGTCCTGGAAAAAGGCTTGACGAAAGCTGGAAGCATTCGATCGCCGCAGTTGCGTTCTAGATCTAAATGCATGGACTTTTCGACGAACTTGTAGATCCAAATGCCTTACCGTCGCGTAGTTTTATCCTCCAAACAACCAAGAAGAAGTAGCAAAGACAAGTAGCAAAGGAGAAACAGAAAAACTGAAAAAGAAAGAAAACAAGGAACCTGGAGACCAGCAGCGATCTTGAAGAGTTTTTTTTCCAAGGATGTGATATTGGCGCGGCTCAATTTGAGAGCGCTGGCTGAGCATTGCAGCGAACGCCATCTGATTGAGCCATCCCAATATCACATACCTCGCATGTATTTCCCTGGACGATCGACGACGAATATCAAATCGTTAGTGGAGTCCCGAGTGGAGCTAGCTCACGAGAAAACCAAAAGCACGCGAGAGCTCGAGAAAGAAAGGAATAGTAAAAATGACGATCTGGAGATCCAGTCCGAAGATCTCAATCGATAAGCGGTGCCTGCAGCGATTTATAGCGTCAGTTAGGAGAGAAAAGGCAAGATATACTTGCAGTAGCAGTGCAGTGATAGCATGCCGGGAAGAAACAAAACCACGCCAAGATTCTCACAGATCTCTCTCTCTCTCTCTCAAACGGATCTCTCCAACCCGACCCGGCAAGAACAACAGTGGCACAAGAATATATACTAGCAGCAGCAGCGAAGAACCGAAACCTCCAGCGGTTACAAAGCCGAAGCTTGTTTGATCCGATCCATCCTGCTGCTGCGCCACTGTTTCTACCGATGATCGATCGATCGGCCGGCTCTCACCTCTCTCGCCACCACCACCATCACCACCACAAAGATTTTAAACCGTGGCAATAAAGTCCCACACTCTCTAACGCTCTATTTATAATCAGGCCCGGTCCCCTCTCACCACACCACACCAGCGAGGAGGAGCGAAGAGTGACTCTAGTGTCGCAGCAGTGGAAAAGAAAAATGGTGAAAGAAAGAAGAAATCCGGATGTGTGCCTCAAAAGTCAAGGCTTTGCATGGCATGGCACTTCAGCCACCTTGAATGCTTTGAAAGAAACGTGGTGACTCTTCCGAGCATTGTTCTCATTTAATACTTCCACTCCAGCAGGAAAATAAGAGATAGGAGATCTCAGCTTTGACTCTCTCACACTCTCTTCCTCTCGGGCATCTGCAAATGCCCGAGAGTGGAAGTAAAACAAAGGAACTCGGGTAAAAGAGAAAGGAAGATAAAGATCTG